CAGCGGGCGCAGGGGCTCCGTGGGCAGCTGCGGCTTAAATGCCCCGCAGGGGGGCGGGGAGCTGCGTGCACATGTCGGGCAACACACCACGGAGGGGGTCCAACAGCTGAGGCGCCACGTGATCAGCACTTGTCTCTGAGGTTTTTTATTTTTATTTTTTGAGAGGCCGGCGTTGCTGATTCAAGGAGACCATTTGGAGGCGGAGGAGCAAGTCCCCAGGAGTTCCATCTCCAGCATCCAGCCACGTCCCCCGCCCCACCCTCCCGCCCCAGGGTGCTGGGCAGACCAGGAGGAGCCCATCCGTGGATGCCAGGCACCTGTCCGTGGCAGCTAGAGGCGAGAGAACCCACGGCTCAGCCGATGCTAAACCAGCGGTTCTCAACCTGTGGGTCGCGACCCCTTTGGGGGTCGAATGACCCTTTCACAGGGGTCGCCTGAGACCATCGGAAAACACATATATAATTACATATTGTTTTTGTGATTAATCACTATGCTTTCATTATGTTCAATGTGTAACAATGAAATTGGGGGTCACCACAACATGAGGAACTGTATTAAAGGGTCGCGGCATTAGGAAGGTTGAGAACCACTGTTTAAAACGCTGAGAGGACCTTGCAGATAAAGTTCCCGGGTCACCAGCCCACACGCACTTCCTACTCGCCTGCTCTCTTCCCGCTTGGGTTTCCATGGTGACCAGACGAGTGACGCGGACATTCTTCTCCGCTGGTCATTGCTTCACACGGGAAGTGAACAGAACAGGGCATCTCCAGGCTTGCTGCGTGCCTTCTCCGTTCCTCGGCCATCCTCTGGGAGCTGCCTTCCCTTCTTGCGAGGAGTCTTGGGGGAACCGCCGGGGAGGCTGCCCCGAATCCTCCGGCCGCGGAGCGATGGGAGTGTGTGAGCCACCGAGGCTGAGTCTCTGGGACTGACTGCCTGGTTAATGGATGGCCGGCTCGTTTATTGGTTTGTTGTCAGCAAAAGAACAGCGTTCACTCCCGCGTCTTTCTTTTTACCCCGATATGATGGTGCGACGATGTCACGTAGGATTCTAGGCACACAGTGTGATGACTGTGGATAAGTGCCTGCACGTGTGTGGCCAGCACGGCCTCCCCGTCACCCAGGGGTTCCCCGCGTCCCTCGCAGTGACTCCCGGCGGCCGTGGTTCCGATGGCTGGCGTGGCCTGTTCTAGAACTTCCTGCGGAGGGAATCCTGCTGTGGGCATTCTCTGGGGGCTGGCTTTCTTCCATCTTTCACTGGGGAGCCCCCGAGACCTGCCCACAGTGTGTCAGGTGGCTCACGCCTTCTGTGGCCGGGCCAGTAGCAGCGACTGGGTGGACTGCCCCTGGGCAGTGAGTCGGGGGTGTGGGGTCAGCAGGCCTGAGACCCAGTGGTGCCCGCACCTCCCAGGCCACAGAGACGCCTGCTGCTCCCGAGGCCTGGCTGCCCCCCCCCTCCTCTGGGAGCGCCTCGCACCTTCCCAGAAATCTCACCGGAGTCGTACCTGGGCTGTCGCCCCGTGCTGCTGTCTGTGCTGAGAGACCCCACCTGGTCCGTCTGCTGTGTTGTTCCACCTCCTCAGTGCCTCCCTGTAGCACCCACAAAGCAGACCACCGGGCCACCGGCCCTCTCTGCTCCTCCCCCCACCGCACACCCGGCTCCCCCGTACCCTCAGCCCTCCTCCCCGCCTCCCCGTCGCCCCAGCCG